TGTGTGTGTGTCAGTGTTTGTGTGTGACTGAGCCGAAGTGTTGACGAGAACGCCATGTAAGTGACAAGTGTGTCAGAGATGTGTCGACACCCGACACGACCCCCGCAGTCAGCGACACACAGCTGCCAATAACAATCTGTGTGTGTGTGTGTGTGTGTGTGTGTCCGTATTTGCGTGTGTGTGCATGCAGCGCTGAGCATGTGTGTCAACATTTACCTACCGTCACTGCAGTTTGGGAAAAAGACGCGCAATATTGTGTAGCCATTCAGGCAACTTTGATCCATCAATAGTGACATTTCTCTGTTCGCTCATCTAACGTTTGTATTTACAACAATGTAAGTGTAGCCACAAGCTTGTGAACGGAACTGTAGATGCTAGAGGAATATTGAAAGCTTGCTGTCAATACATCTCATCAAGTGAGTGGCTGGCTTTAGTTAACAGTGTTTACATTTAGCTCACTTGAAGCTTTCTGACTGATCGTATTGATGTTGTGATTCCACAGAGGAGGAGGACGGCAGCTATGACAGTGAAGATGGAGTCGGTGACATCAAGATAAGCTCATCCTCTAAAGAAGCTCCTGCAAACCCTGCCGGGATTGTGCCCTTTTCATCGCAGTCCTCCAGGCTCCAAGCAAACCAGAAAGCCAGGAGTAAAAGACAGGGGCCTCACAGTAAGTCATGTCTTTATATATATGCTGTTGTCATATAAAAACTGTGCTTATTTTGCGATTTTCAGTTTTTGACTGGAAGTGAAGGATAACATGATTAGCTTGGGTTTAGAGAAATGTTGCAAAATCTAAAAGGATAAGCTTAGAAATGTGTGGTGGTTCAGCTAAAAACCACCACACATTTCAGGATGGAGGTTCAAGGTTGACAGTATTAAGTACCAGTCACAGTATTTACTATTTTAGGGGATATTATGGATGGATGGATCTTTAATATAAACTAATATATTAACTAACCTCATATTAAACAATATCAGATATTGACATTATTGTGATGTATCTGCCAGCTCTAATTTCCATTATGTCCCTTTCACCCTCAGGCATGGGGAGCATGTCCAGTATAGATCAGAGGAGAGCACCCAGAAGGCCAAGCCTCTCCAACACAGAAAGGGGACGTCCGGACCACCAGGGGACTAAAAAAGTGTATCTGCCCAGCTGGGGTGTGTCGTCAGTGGGCTGCAGCTTCGGGGAAAGCCGAGGGAACCATGGAGCTCTGATAGATGCAAACAGGGCCAACAGGGAAGCTGTGAGGAGGAGCTCAGCAGGGCAGGGCGTTCTGGGAAAGGTGAGACTTTAGCAATATGTTGCTTTTGCAACTGACAACTATTCAACCAAGTAAATTAATCCCTGACAGTAGTGATCACAGCTGATCACAGATCACTGTTATGTTACACCCTCACATTTGCATCTTACATTTCCCTTCTCAAATGCTTCACTTCTGTTTAAATGATATGGGGAAGTAGACAGAATTAAAATATCATGTTTTTGTCCCCCTTGATGCCTTTTTGAATTTTTTAAAAACTTTGTACAACTTCTAGGCATGTGGATTTTGTTTATCAGTCACTCATGTTCTCCAGAAAAACTACACGTTTAGCCTTAAAAAAAAACATGCACAAATTGTATTCCACCAATTGGAGCTAAACTTGGAATATTGAAAATATTTGGGCTTAATATCATGGGAAGGAAGCCATACAAATTAAATGCTCTTCCAGAGTTCAACATCTATTTAAGGGGGATAGAATTTGTGCACTTTGCAGCTATTTTTGTTTCCCCTCATCATTCACAAGTGCATGGGGAAGGGAACTGAGAGGGAAAGCTGAGATGCAACTGCCAATTTTAGTGGTGTGATGGAAAGGTTACATACAATAAATCACTGCTGTCACAGAGTAGTAAGGAATGTAATTACATTACTTTTGAAATAGGAGAATGAGCAAAAAGATACATGCTGTAATGAACCTAACAGTGGTCAAGACAGGGGTTAGGTTCAGGCAGCGGCTGATTGGGAATGTGAGTATAAGAAGAAAGGTGACTAAGAGACAGTCACTCCCTTTGGACTTCTCCTGCATGCATATAAAGGCTGAGAAAGAGAGAAGGAAGGAGGAATTTGGAAAAGCCCTCGCATCAAGTTAACTCCTTCCTTGTTGAAGTGAGCCACACCTAAAAAGTTTAAAAATCCCTAAGATTACAACTGACAGTACTTATCAATAACTTTGAGTCTGTTAATGGAAGATGCTTAGCATCAGCCGAAATCAGTCACTCTGTCAAATGCACCATTTGTTCTTCTTATAGGTGTGTATTTGCATGCCTGCCTGCCTGCCTGCTGTGTTAACACACCGTTGGCCCGTTGTATTCGTGCAGGCAGCCGTTGGCAAGAAACCTGTATTCATTTTAATGAGAAGTACCCCGAGGTTGCTTTAGTCTTTGAGTCATTGTGAGGGAATGTCCAAAAACACATAACTCCAAACCAAACAGAGAAGTATAAAGATAATCATTGGCCATAACCCTACACACACCCATGGATGCCTGCATACACACACACAAACACAAGCAGCACTAAAGGGAAATAATCACCCATGCCCTCTGGTGACGAAACTTCTGTCACTAAAATATATGGGCTTGTGATGTGAAAAACACACACACACACAC